TGCCAATGTTATGTAAAGCTGCACAAAGTCCATCCACCTTAACAGGCTGGCTGAAGCCAACCTTTCAGCTGCTTTCAGCTCAGCCCAATAACCCTTGCACAAACATGGAAATATTGACATGATAAATAGCAAAATTGACCTCTTGGCTTCCAGCACGAGTGGCACCACAGCGACTGCTCCTATAAGGAACGTGTTGCCTTGGCAGAGCCGACCGGCCCCAGCCCTCAGTGCCACATGCACATTTAGAGTTGTGCCAAGACACTTGACTTCTTCCTGGCAGGGCCATGCTCCCCAAATTTCTGGAATAGCTGGAATATCCCCACGGCTGACATAGTACTGCCTATTCCACAGTAATTCTCATTGGTTTGGTACATTTATCATAAAAGGAAGGTTACTAGTCATCATGAAAGCTTTGAAATAGCTTTTTTTATGGCCATTTGCTTACGTTTTCCCTTCTTCTTGCCTGCACCTGAAGCAAACAAAAAACCCCGACTCTTTGATTTGTTGGTTCCTGGAAACATACGTTGGTTCTGGGCATGTGGGGACAACCTGACCAACTGTGCAAAGACAGCCAATTTACAGCCCCGTGCAAACCCTGAGTAACCTTGAAGGCAGGGTAAAGGACAGGACCAGCAGACCCAGGGAATTGCCACAAGCAATCAAATCTCAAACTTTATCCTGGTTTCTCCCTTCTTGCCATTCCATGTCTCCTAGATTTGCACTTAAACATGTGTTAACATCTAAGTACCTAAAAGCACCTAATTGTTCACAATATTAACCTCCACCAAAGACAGAAAATATCCCTTTTCCCTTCCAAACCCAAGCACCTGTGCAGTCCAGGTTAAATACTTCATTCTGGACCTGCAGACCCTTATCCCTCCCAGCCATGAACACATGCACAAATGCTCAGAGCCCCACATCCAGGTAAACCAAATATATCAGGCATATGCACACACCTTATCATTCCTACTAGAGCTCCAGACAGAAGCTGTCCTAAATGGTGGGGCCCAAATATCTGCCTCATGGCAGAAACTAATCATCTCCCAGTTTGACAGATGGGGAACTGGAGCTCCAACACAGGTGGCTGAACTGACACCACCCAGAATAACCTACACTGGAACTGGGGCAGGAAAAAAAAATCCACATAGGAAGATCTTTGGTCCTTTTTGGTAACTGCCAGACTATTTGTGTTTTGGTACCACACCAAAATGCCTCACATCCTGCAAACTTGCTTATTAACCGTACTAACAAACATCAGAGGCTGCTGCTGAAGATGCTGGTGGCACACGGACATACTATCAAGCTATGTATACATTTATCACGGTGAATCTATATTACTACTAGAGAACATCATTACTCAAGTCAGCCAAGCCTCTCTGCAGGAACTGTCACAGGATGACCAAAGACCACAGACCTTCACAGCACACCCTTCTCTGGTCCTACAGTTAACAGGGCATCTCCAGGGCAAACAGGCAGTCTGCTTCTACTTGTCCTTTCCCTCATCAGCCCCAAGAAGAGCTTGAGGTCACACACACACACGCCCCCTTCTGCTTACAGAGCATAAGAATGCAAGGAGGATTGCACAAAGGCTGATTTATGGATGAAGCACTCCAGATGTGATATAAAACCACCTTTATGCTTTATGTCAGGGAAAATAATTTAGTAAAGAAAAAAATTCCTCTCTGATGGTTTTTGTTCATTGTCCTTCAATCAAGTCAAACACACCCACAAAGGCAGATGTTTGAGCCACCATCCCTTTGAATTACTTTTTTGGCCCCAGACAGGCTAGCAGGCCCCATGTTATGGGGTAAATGGGTGCAAGGTGAAACACCATTCATATAGCAGCATGTACAAGCTGACCAGAGAGTCTGTTCAAAGAACACAGAGAGGGTCAGGCAACTGGAACATGGTTTATTTCTGAGGGGGAAAACATCAGGAAAGCTCTGGTGAAAGAGGTGGGCAGGTGGGGATGGAGACAGGGCTGATGTCTTCTCAGACCATAGAAGCTCACGGTTCAGCTCCCAGCCCTGGAAGGTTTCTGCACAGCAATCCCTGCTGACCCTTGGGAGGACATTATACCTAAAGACCCAGCCATAGCAAAACATTCCATGTCTCACCTGGCCATCCTCATTGCTTTGCAATGTTCCTCAGGCTTAACCAAAGATCCCTGAAAGAAACCCAAATCCTTCCTTTCATTTCCACATCACAGACTTACTCTCGAGTTACCAAAGGAGAGCAGCACCCACCTCACACCAACCCTCACTGCCAGCAGTGAAGGAAGGCTGCAGAAATACAGCTGCCCAAGAGGCTGCAGAAGACAGGTCAGGTGTGGTGCCTTCACAGAAGCAGGAGCACAAGTGAGGTAGGACCCTGGAGATGCTCCATTCTCCCCGGGAGGGAGGAGTCCCTGCCTGGTGTGCCTGTGCCCTCTTGTGGCTGCCTGACCATGCTGCACAGGGTGGGACCAAACCTCGGGAAAAGGAGAGGTTACTCTCCCTTGCAAAGGACAAAGATTCTTGTATTACTTACGGTCTCTGCAGGATCCTAAAATAAATAAATAAAACTGATATCCCTTTCTGGAGGCGGGTCTCAATTCAAAACGTAGCTGCTTAACACAGGACAGCTCAGGAGCCAAAAAGCACGGAGTGACTTTACAGTCATGTGAGCACAGACAACAGCCCACTCTGGAGCCATCAGGGGAGGGATGTGCAGAGCTTTGAGTCTGGCAGGAAGAGGACAGCCCTTCTAATTACTCCATCATCTCTGCTGTCGGCCCTGGCAGCTGCCTGCCAGCTCCTCCTTGAAGCACCCATGAATCCAGGAGAATTTGTTGTGTCTCTGCTGGCAGCTCCCCGCTGCTTTACTCCAGCACTGGCAGCGAGGGCACAAGCACGACAGGCAGACACTGCCAGCTCTGTTCCTGCTTTGTGATCACCCGTTGGTTTCCTTCTCTTGTCTTATGAGGAGCAGCTGAGGGAACTGG